TGAGAAACAATAATTTCTCTAAATTATCTGAACGCAAAAAGTGTTTGAGGCTGCCGTAGGCTTCCGAAAAGACACGCTCGTTACAAACTCTAATTGCTGGCAAATGACAAATTTTGAAATGCATAAACAATAAACTGACTCTGTTGTTGGTAAATAGACTAACTTGATGCTACCTTTCTTTGTGAACTGATTTATGTCCAAAATTAAATAAAAACTGAACTACCCGTTACCCGTGCGGGTAGTTCTCACTACCCGCAGATAACGGGTACCCGCAAGAATCGTGCGGGTATGCGGGTAACGGGTACCCGACCCGTTACCCGCGGCAACCCTAGCAGATAGTACTTGGGAAATAAACTTCGAATTTTGCGGACTGTTGAACTTTCTACGCAGTACACTTATGTACAATTAGAACTTCAGCTGTGGAGCTCAACCCAACGTCATTCGAGGCACTATCTAGAATATGTATATACTGGATTTATGTAGACATATTTATGTATGCATCAAACTAGAAAGATACAATTTGATAAATTTGCGAAATGTGTTTAAAAACAAATAAAAATAGGAAAAAACGACGGGTAGTTTTACATTACTAATTTCAATTTACATTCGCAATCAATTCTTTAGCTGATGTGGCCAGAAGTAACTTAAGATTTCATACAAAGCTTGGAGGAAATCAGTATATTTACTATGGATAAATATTTACTATGGATAAATATACTCATTGGAAAATAATTAATCGTTGTCGAGCAAAATTCAAAATAATACTGCTTGGAGCTTGGAGAACGTACAGTTTGAGATTTTCGACAAGATTCATAATTCGGCGGACGTTTAGAATTTTGAGGCAATTAAACGCACGTGCAAAAGCGGTTTTAGTTTCGCGACAACACCGTCGGCATCATGTAAATAAATGGTTTTTCGAACCTTGGCCTAAATATTCTATGCACAAACATATTACATACACACATGCATATATGTTGATATTGAAAATGAATACGCCCAGATAAATTTACTTACATACGTAAGAAGAACAGTAAGCTGGAGTTTTGAAATTACCTTAAGTATGTATTCATATCTAGATATTTACTAGTCAAGCACGACGGTATTAAATTAGCATAATATATATTTCCGGGCGTACATGCATAAATCGTGTCACCAATTTCGTCTAGAAATACCCCACACCTATTCAAGTGAGGCAAAAAGCTTCTTGCAAAAACGTAAAACTCTTTTTGTACTTTATACTCTCGAAATGGATCACGTGCTTCTTGCAGGGTCCGAACCTTACGTTTTCTATATTACATACTCGACCACCTTCCCAGATCGATCGGTGGCACGTGCTGCTAGCTTCATCATTTGGAATTGGGCGCTTCTTCGTTAGGCGAGATATTTCGAATCGGTGATCAAAATCTTTTCATCCCCAAATCAGTTTTATTGGGGAACCTATCGCTAAAGTAAGTGCCGATAACTTGATAAAATTTTACTCCAAATTATTGAATTGTACTTATCAAGATTAATTAATGCATACGGAGACGTAAATAATTTTTTAATTTTGGACAAATCACTACACTCTTAAATCTAAATTTCAAATTAAGTAAACTAACATATGAACTCCAGAGTAACGTGAACTGGACAAAGAATAGGTTTGCTCTGGATTTCGAGTATGATTCCCTAATTTAAAATTCAGTGTTTCCTTACTTTTCAAACGGATATCACTATTTTTAAGAGTGTTACGTTTAAGTGTGTCTATGTTAACAAAATATTGTATTATGGGTCAACCATAACCAAAAAACGCAAGCTTAGTAAGTCAAACGCCATGAGTTAACAGACTTCAGTTAAATAATCGTCTTGAAAGCGAACTTCTTTAAAATTTCAACTAAAAAACGATAATCTTAGTCCTAAAATGATGAGTGTAAAAATACGCGAAATTCCACTCCTACAACATCTCTTCGTCACATATTACCCTTTCGGGTATAAACTCTAGGTGGAAATGGTTACGGAAAAAGGAGGCCATGTTTCCATTCGAAAAACCAAGCGCAAATTTGACACCGTAGTTTCCTTAATTCCAATCGGATGCTTGTCTGTGACCTGGTTTATTTGCGGATTTGCAATCATTATTCTCGCCACGGAGTCCAATACATATCTCGAGATGGTACAGAATCCCAAATTGTGGACGTGGAGTATCGGGGTAATTCTCCCATCATGTGGTGCAATCGCGTACAAGGTTTGGGTGGTGGACGATCTCAACCTTTCTGTAAAATTGGCCAATGAAATTATTGCAATCCAGCAGGAACTAGTGGCGGGTAAAGAATTTAAAAAATTATAAATAATGCTCCGCATGAATTCAGATTCGGCTGGAGCTGAATCATAAGATTTTAGAATCTTATGAGTCAAATCCTCCGCATGGGTGAAGACTCAGTGGAAAAAGCATATGACCGGTTTGGGGGCAACCATATACGTCGTCCATATGTTAAGATAGGAAGACCTAAACCACCCGTGTGCTAATATGATGACGCAATATATGGATGTTATCTTGAGGATAATAACGGAAAACACTGGATATATATATCACACCAGGGCGAACGGGTCAAAATTCTTTAAAAATCTTGATTTAAATACATTGCGCATGTTATTACATAAATCATGTGATCGGAGAATTTGAATGAAGGATAGGATGCCTACCCCCTCTCAAATCGATCACATGCTTTCTGAAAAGTATCATGTACGATATCAAAACAAGGCTTCAAATTTTGCTTCGATCTCGGATTCGTGCGGAGCACTAGCGACCAAAACTGAAAGAAAATTATTGAATGATATTTTATTCAACTTGTGATAATAACTTGTCACAGAATTATCATTTAGCCGACGACCGGAGTCGACATCTACCCAAGCCCAATTTTTCGACTTATTAATTGCCGCACTCTACGTTGCCCCGCCAATCTTGGTAACCGGTTTGATAAGCACTGGCACCGAACCGTTTCTATTCCTGGTAAAGTATTTCCTTCAATTCGACATCATCTCGGCTTTCCTGCAGCGCATCTAGTGGTCTGGTTTATACGGCCAAATATTCCAAACCATCGCCATCATCCTGGCTTTTTGGCCAGCCGCCAATTTCGTCTTGTATGAAATTATTCGAATTTTTTTATTCTCCATTTTCGCTATTGCTAATTTAGGGGATAAAGCGTTCTCAATTTTACACTGTTTACGGATCAAAAATGGGGTATTTATCCGTACAAAATATTATTCTCGACTTCGAATTATTTCGCAAAGTGTGGATTACGCGGTTAAGATTACGACGGGATTCGGGATCGCAGCTATGGGAACGATCACGTGGGCCACAACTTTTATCGTGGTTCGCTTACATGACCAATTTCCCTTGGGCATGCTCTTGGTTGATGGATGTTGCGCAGTTGGATTTTTCCTTGTGTTGGCAATTCAATTGACAAAATATGCCCAGACAAAATATGCCCAAACAAAAAATTTTTTGCAAAGTTGCAAAAATCATGAGCTACTGAGTGGGATGATGTGAGACGTTGTTGTTTGTGATTGTAGATAAAAATAATATGGGAAGAATTAAAAGTGTCCAATAAAGTTGTCTCAAAGTTTGAAATGCGAGTCGGCAGGAGAGGAAGGTGTATTTAAGGGAGGTGGCTGCTCTGCCACGGCTGATTATGCCGGTTGGCCTGGGACAATTTAGATTATCCAAAATCACGAAGGATAGAACAGGAAGTGTGTGTCTGGATTTGGGTGAAAGGATTGTGAACATGCTGATAGCGTATAGATAATGATGTCAAAGAATCGACCGTCCATAAATTAAGTAAAAATATGTAAAAGAAAAAATTATGTAAAAATTATATATGTAAAATCGCGATTTTCTAGATGCCTTCCCCCTTGTGTAACGTAGCCACGGCATCATTGGAGCCTAAACCCCCCTCCCCCTCTTTCGTTATGAAACTTAGATATGTCTGGCCCCTAAAATTGTTACACACCAAATTTTCTATACAGTAAATATGCTCTGGTACAAGTGGATCGAACTGCACGACGTAAGGATTGTTTTTCTTTGCCAAAATGCAGCTAATGATACTGCTGACAATGCACATGTCAGACATGTTACTCACCGTAGATATACACAGAATAGAATGATGCTATCCCATTTTGCTAAAAGTTGACTTACCTGAGGTAGTACATAAATTATTGTTTTATCCCCGTTGTGCTTAATTACCTGTATTGTAACGGCCAATGTACCAAAAACAACTTGAATTGTGTAATTCCCAACGGATGTGATCAATCCATTTGCAGATACGTAGATAATTAGCTCGAATACAAGAGCTTACATTAACGTTTGACATGAAGGCTTTGCACATTTAAAAGTGATAGTGTTTCAACCGAATTAATCCATACACACGCCACACACGTGTCAAGGATTTATTGATGTACGCGTATATGTACTTATCTTTGCCACTTTCCATGCTGATTTAAAGGATTAAAACTTCTGCATTGTCCAAATTGAGGAAGGATCGTGAATAAAATACGTTGTATTATTTAACCAGTTTAGGATCAAATTAGGGCATGCAAAATATGATAATCCTACTTTGAGAATACCGGCTGAAGACTGTTTTTAAATTTTTTAAATGGATTATATTTTTTTAAGTTACAGTTTAACAGAATTGAAAACCGGACTTCAATTTTTAATAATACCCGCTTTTAATAACACTCGTTATCAGTGGTTGTGCTTAGAATCGAAAATAAATAGGCTCACTAAAATTTTAGAAATCCGAATACTGGAAAATGTTTCTTTTTAATTACGAAAATTCGATTTTGGGTTCCCGTTGTTCCTACATATGTATGTAAGTTAATCATACTAAATACCTACGTATCTATGTAGCATACTAATGCATGGGTATGTTTATACAACAAGGTTGGTCAAAATTTAAGCACATCTCTTAATGACGGGCCCAAGTGTCCTTGTGCATAAATGGATTATGTGGATATAAAAATCGGAGTAGAGTACAGTTTCCATGCATTACAGTTTCATCACTTCTGAACAAACGCGTAATAATTTACATATTTAAGTACGCAATATGTCGTCCCGAACGAGTTTCTTGTCCTTTTTACTCTTTTTGATCTCTACAAAATCCCTGTCAACCGGAACGGTTCTCACGGCGATGATACTCGGTACAAGGTTGCCTTATCCTAATAACTGCACGCGGCCTTATCATTTACCAGGGGAGGATGTCATCACGTTGTTTGGAAGCTGTCGAGAATATCCGAACGAAAATAAGGACATTCTCCGTTTCAGGATGTCAACTGATACAATTGAGAAGGTTAACATTATTCATAATCAATTCATATTCAATACACATTTTATGGAAATATGTTATAAATTTAAGCCGAATTTGATACTAAACTCTTATAAATAATGGTACCCCTTTGACGGGTAGAATTTCACTTTGAATTATAAATTACTTAAGTAAAATATCCCAAATGCAGAGTACCGTTAAACTGATCAAGAGCAGAGCTTATACTAAACTTGATACAATTTACATAATTTTCATAATCTAAAATTCAAACTGCCTTTACTATTCAAAAGGGTGACATTATTTTTTAGGATTTTTTAATTTACATATTTTAAGTAATTAGCTCCTTATCCTTACCAGGTTGGTGAACTACCGGACAATACGAATCGCGGAACCGTGCAGCCTGGAAGTGTTGGATATATTTACTACTTGGGTGGAAGCAATAACTTGATTTACCGGTACCACCCGGGTCCTAATACAACCGAGACTGGTGGTGTTTTCCCCTTCAATCTGCGGGACTCGACCTCCATCAGTCTTAACGTGACGGACGATGAGGTCATAATTTTTGGCGGGTATGGAATTCCGAATGCCGTCTATGCTCTAAATTTGGCCACATTAACGGTGCAGTACGAAGCCACGCTACCCATAAATATTTTAGAAGCTACATCCGTCCGCGTGGGGGATTACGCTTTTATCTTCGATTCCGGGGCATCGAAAGATAATCGACAGGCAATATCGACAGGCAATTCGGGTCAATTTGAAAAATTTCACAACCGAGCTTGTAGGACCGCCGACCCTTCCCGCTTTTTCGTTGAGACCTTCCTCCGTTTATGATAGTCGAGGGAATAAAGTGTACGTTTTTGGCGGGTATACTGTATCCGAGAACCCGGTAAATCCTACCGCGGGAATTTACGAGTTCGACCCTGTCACATTTGAAAATAGGTTTATCCCAGTTGTAAATTTTCCCGCTAATGGTGAGTTGTATTGGAGAATTGCTCCTGCAGCGGTGTACGTGCCGGATTCGGACAGGTTTTATTTTTTCGGTGGGTCATTGTCTGATAGTTATTATTGGCGCCAGGATGAAATTTTCTACGTGAGTCTAGATGTACTGCGGACAGAGTGAAAATTGCGTGTGAAATTTGTCTATAATTTCGGTGTAACTTATCTTGCTGTAAACATGCCCATTATACCTGTCACATGCATACAGAAATGAAAAATTAATAAACTAATAAATAAAGATGGCACCAAACGAATGGGTATCTAATTAAAGGAGAATTTGTTCAGAATTTGTAACTGAATGAATCTTTGTACTGAATAAATTTGGATTACTTCATGATCGTTAATAGCCTGGTCTCAAATCATGCAGGGTTTATTATTGTTGTAGTCGGGTCAGAGCTTTGCTTTTGGTCCGACTATTGCTCAAATACTATTCAAATACTCAAATACTGGACTCAAATACCGGACTCATACATATGTATACTATTAAATATTAAGGAACAATTTTATTACTATATTTCTGTAGAATAACACTACTTTTTTATTTTATTTATAATCTTTAACCACCGAAAATATAAAACATGAATTGCGATGCATACTCCATTGCGAATACTGCGCCGGGACTCAAACGCAAATGGAGGTAAACTAATCGCTACTGCAGCACCCCAAACTACAAAAAATGTTGCAAGGGCTCCGTCTAATCCAATAGCAACGCCTCTATAAATATTATTGTAGTTTGTCACATTTTTATGCGCCGCAGGTTTCCGATATAAATTCTTCTTACTAACCAGTTCATGCTCAATACGGCCTTGAATCCTTGAATACCGGTCTCAACCAGACGCTTATAATAAAATGGTAGTCTTGAGTTTCCTGCCGAATGAAATACAACTCCGTAAAAGGATTCAAGCAGTACTTGTTTCCCTTTGTAAAATGTACGCCATGGATAGTTTTTCGAAAGGAAATTGTATTCCGCTTCTACGTCATCCGAATTAGCAATGAAAACAGTTTTCCCACATTCAATGACTTCCAGTTCTATATTTCGTTGCAACTCTTTTATATCGTTAGCTTTGGTGAAATTGAATTTTCTTGGATAATGGGAATGTACAGGTAGAAATGATTTCAGTGCGAGATTAAACTGTTTCCTAAGATGTGTGCTTTCAAGCCAATTTGTATTATCAAACAGCAGGGCCGCATCATGTAGATAGGTCAGGAATTCAGGATAATTCTCAGTAATGGAACCAGGCCGTGCTGTGGTAGGGATCGAGTAAAGTTTGAAGCAGTTATCACGTTTGTACGGATTATTTTCTTTTCTAAACTCAGGGGCCAATAACCACCAAAAATACCATAAGAGTTTGGCCTGTATACTCTTCGTATCTTGGATTTCAGACTCATTCAACTTCGGATTAGTAAGGAAAATGTCAGTTTGATTTAGAGATAATTCGTTGCAAACCAGATCATTGAATGTCTTAGGCTGAAAGGTTGAGAGTGGACCATTAAGTTTAGAAATCATTAATCCAGTATAGCAATTCGTAAAAATTACACTTGTTAAACACCAAAAGCCAAACGTTAACCGAAAATATCTGTTACACTTAATTTTTTGGGGAACATGACCCGTCTCCTCAAAAAATGGTAGCCAATATAAAAATCCACGCACAAAACGAGATATCTCTAAAATATCCATAGACCCATGTTAAAGCAATTACAAGAACCAGAATGCCTAACAATGCCGACCACAACTCGGGTTCAAAGGGAGAAATATAAATTTCAAATGTTTGATAATGCTCCCGGTAGCATGTGACGTACTGAAACCCTGTACTTTTCGTTATAACTGGAATTAATGGGTACATCTCGTTAACAGCATCTCTCAGATAAAGATACTCGTCGTTTCCAAGCTTGTAGTTGAATACTAATGTGGGGTTTTGTGGTTCATTGGATTCAATAATGTGTCGGCTAATGTTTACATGTTACATCAGTCCACTGGTCGATAGTGTAGTTTTCGTTACGATCAAATGGATTTAGTATTCTATGTATATCTAAGCTCTTCCCCCCAGGGTTGATCAGTGTCAAAAAACACCACTGACTTGGCCAAGAAGCGACAATATCTACCCGTTGATCCCAGTCAGTGATTCTGCGACAATCCGCCCAAATTGCTTTTGTAATAATTTTTTGTGGCATGACACAAATCTCATTGGTATGGTTATCCTTCGCTAGGTATGACACAGCGAGGTTATAGGTATTGTACATTGACGGTAGTAAATAAAACGACACATAGTGACGTATTTGTTTCTTCTGCCTGGTAGAAACAACAATTATAAACATGACCTCACCATATTGGTAGACTCGTTGTTGTATCTCCATGCTCATCGTATTAGAAATAAGGAGAGGTTGCTTGAATATTTGTGTTGACATATGGAATATATGGTTGCCCACCGTGATTGTAATCCACGCTCTTAGACGTAAATATTTGCCGGAATCTTTTAAAGGGCTAGGTTCAATCAGCAATTTTGTCAGAAACAGGCTCAATTTGTTTTTCGGACTTCGGGATGACAAGGCATTAATACCCAGAGATGATGGATCTAACCCATTTGTATTGAGATATGATGGGACTCGAATGACTTTTGTGGGAATATTGTAATCTCCAAAATCCAACCCGTCGTGCAGAATTTGCAGGTCACAATTGGTCACATTTTGCAATAAATAAGCCACATGTAGCAGAGCAAGTGAAGCAGAATTCGTTTCCGAATTTACCGATGCTGCCAACATTGTTAAAAATATTTCCGTGATGAACATTCTAATTTGATTTTGGATTTATTTTGCAGAAAATTCAAGCAATTCAGCGTGCTGATGTTGTACTATCACATAAACTTTACTTTCACATAGAAGCATAACCCACATCGAATAAGGTAATTGGTAACCTCTCGAGCAAATACGCATTTACTTAGGAGGGGAGCTTGCGAGGTTGATAATAACAGATCTTGGTGCCCTTTGGATATGTGGTAGGGACCCATGAGTGTACTAAAACCCTGAAGTAGTTTGACTCCATGGCCACATTTGCGCCCGCCACACCCACTCAAAAATGCCCAAAAAACGCTTTCACTCGAGTTTTCACTCACTCAAATCCACGTCAAAAATCCAATTTTACTCGGATTTTGAAATTTCTTTCACCATTATACTCCCAGATAGTTACTTTCTTCAATCCAATATCAAACTCAATTTTATTGATGATTATTTCGCAAACATAATTTGTTTTGTTGATGACTACAACAATGCTCATTCAGAATTTTAAATTTTAAAAATACTAAAAATTTCGAAAAAATTGAGTTTGATATTGGGTTGAAGAAAGAAACTATCTGGGAGTATATTGGTGAAAGAAATTTCAAAATCCGAGTAAAATTGGATTTTTGGCGTGGATTTGAGTGAGTGAAAACTGGAGTGAAAGCGTTTTTTGGACATTTTTGAGTGGGTGTGGCGGGCGCAAATGTGGCCATGGAGTCAAACTACTTCAGGGTTTTAGTACACTCATGGGTCCCTACCACATATCCAAAGGGCACCAATATCTGTTATTATCAACCTCGCAAGCTCCCCTCCTTAGGGAGACAATTAATAAATAGTATCGGCAACTCAGACACGCTAACCACGTCATGTAAAACTTTATTTCTTGCCGTATCATGGGCATTATTGTAATTATTTAGAAAGTACTATCAACACAGGTGGCCGCGAAGGGGTGGGGACGGCTTGGGACGTTAACCTTTTAGGATATGAGAGGGAGGGGTCAGTGTTTTAAATTTTACCACTTGGTTTGATTTATACCATCACAGTGGTAAAAAGTGATAAAAAGTGGTAAAATGGTAAAAAGTGGTATAAGCTGGTAACAAGTGGTAAAAACTCATGATTGGTCAATTTACAGTGTGGGAAAGTCAAACTAAATGATATTTTTAATAATGTCTCAGATAATTGGTAGTTCGACATAATAGTTCCCACCTTGAAAAACATTCCTCTCTTAATTAATAAACCATACATACAACAAATCAAAGGACACAATTTTAATGTCCATCAGATAGGAATATTTTTTGTTACGGATTTTTACACAACATTTTGGAACTTTGTTGCAAACCGTTTACATTTAAAAGCTACATAAAGTGTGTAAGACAAAGTTTTCATAATTTTAAATAATTAATAACACTTATTAGTGTGAATCACAAAGTAATGTACCCCTATACATACATACATATACATAATTTGTATCTATTTTGGCTCTTGTTAATATCGCTGGCTCTGTCTGGTTAAATATATATATATATTTATTTGAAGATTATGTATTATATCCACCAATAAACTAATTAATTTTTGTAAATTATAGTGAACTTTTTATGCTAAAAATTTATCTCACAATAAACCAAACAGGTTTATACCACTTCATACCACTTTTTACCACTTTACCAGTTTTTCATGAGAAGGTAAATACCGGTAAATACCAGTATTTACCAGTGGTATATACCAGTTGGTAAATACCACTTTAAACACTGGGAGGGGTTAATATAGATGATTGGGACTTCGAATCTTGTCCTCACCCTTCCTCGGTCACCGGCCAACACATACGTCATACTCGTTAGCGATGTGTGGATTTTTAATAAAAGGCTTGGTGAATTTCCAAAAATCAGCTAACTTCAAGTGTCTGTTACTTTCAGATAAATAATTTTAATTGGTTTATTTTTTGTTCACATCGTAAGCGTAGGTACTTCATATTGTCTGTGGTAGACACGTTATTTCTGAATAAAATCATGGCAACTTCCTAAAAAATATATTGTACCTTTAAATACAGAATGATCCTGTTCCTCAAATTACAAAATATTTTTTAATTCCACAAATTTGATAGACAAATTTGACATCGAACTAGGGCATGTAATCTCGATATCGGTTTCGGTATTCGGTATTCAAATACCGAAATATCGATATTTCGATATTACAATACCGAAATAGGCATTTTCCAATTTATGAATTTATTTAATTAATATAACACTTTCGAATTAACGTACCCCCTTCGAATTCAAACTTTGGGCTGTAACCAGGTCAAAAATCAATTTTTTAAACATTTGGGGTGTAACCAACTCAAAATTTAGAAATAATAATATCGTATTTTGACTTGTCCGTAGCTCTACCTAAAGCTTCTACTTTAGGGGTGTGACCAAGTCAAAATTCAGTTTAGCGAACTTTGGGGGTGTGGCCAAGTCAAAATTCAATTTTGTGAACTTTGGGGGTGTAACCAAGTCAAAATTAAGTTTTGGGAACTTTGGGGGTGTAACCAAGTCAAAACTCAATTTTGGGAAATTTGGGGGTGTAACCACTCCTAAAATCAATTTTGGGAACTTTGGGGGTGTAACCATGTCAAAATTTGGTTTTGGAAACTTTGGGGGCGTAACCAATTCAAAATTCAATTTAGGACATTTTTGAGGTGTACCGAAGTCAAAATTTAATTTTGGAAGCTTTACATAGTTGCAGCTATGGCCAAGTCAAGATTCGATATTATTGTTCCGAAATTTTGACTTCGTCACACCCCCGAAGTTCCCAAAACTGATTTTTGACTGACAATGGAGGTCTCCCAACGTATGCTCACAGATTTGGACCAAACTAGTGTCAATCGATCACAAATATAATTAGTATGAAATTTGCAAATGGAACTATCTGCCAATACGCAGGTTTGGCAGAGATATTTGCATTCAAAGCGGGAAAAATGCGCAGGAAATTTGGAAAATGAAAAATATGCCAGCCTTTTGGTGCGTTTTCTCATCTTTTTATGCAAATATCTCCGCCAAACGTGCGCATTGGCAGATAGTTCCATTTGCAAATTTCATACTAATTATATTTGTGATCGATTGACACTAATTTCGTCCAAATCTGTGAGCATACGTTGGGAGACCTCCATTGTGAGTTACACCCCAAAGTTTGATTTCGAAAGGGTTACGTGAATTAGAAATGGTTATATGAATTAAATAAATTCATAAATTGCAAGAATAAAATTTCGGTATTGTAATATCGAAATATCGATATTTCGGAATTTGGATACCGAGAATTTTGGTATTCAAATACCGAAATATCTATATTTCGAGATCTCGAAATATCGAGATTACATGCCCTACATCGAACCTCCATACACGTAATCCCTGTGAGTAAAACAAATTGCATAAATACTCTTCACGTAGCATATGTATATACTTGAGTTTATTTACACCGTTGTGTTGCGTTGCGTGTGCACAATTTATGAAAGAGATTTTAATATCGTGCATGCAAAAACTCGAAACATATGTACATACATAACTCAAATTTTAGGTAATTGCATAATTTATTTATGCAATTACCTAAAATGTCAGCCATGCTAAGGAATTATTTTTAAGACGTTATTACTTTTTGGTGCTGTTCATTTTTTAATAATATTCATGTGAAGTCTATTTCATTCCGTGCATGAAATCCGACGATTTGATCGTCCTTCTTAATAGTGTTTATTACGCCAGTTTGATGATCTTTGAATCGAATTATGTGAGATTCAAGTATTGATTGGTATATATGTATGCATGCGTTGTCTTACTTTAACTTTGCAATTATCGTACATAATATGTACAATAAGATATTATTTATTTAAATTTATGAAACTTTAATGTTTAATACTGTCACGGCCTTCTCTCTATCAAAGTAAGCAACGCAGGAGAAAAATGTGCGAACTAACGTAGTATTTATGCACAAGTCAGCTAAAATAAATAAATATTTGGTTAATACCAGATCTGATACTTCTTGTTGGAAGGCAGTCATTGGGAAATTTGGATAACGTAATTCCCAAGGGATGTGATAAGTATGTACATAATTAAAAGATAACGACCCGGTATTAACATAAGTGTGGTAACATTTGACGTAGAACACCCACAAATGTGCGGTATTTGACTAACATGTCACACCTGCCACTGATTTACTGACGAAGTCATGGCAACATGTCACCTTATCACTTTACAATTTCCAATTAAATGATTCATTAAGTACTTTCTATGATCCAGATAGATGGGTCGTACACACTAGATTTCACAGATCTTGGGTAAATATGAGTCAGAAGTATTGGTTGTCTATTACACGGTTAGAAATCTGGTATTGTCACGCACTTCAGTATTAAATTTTCCACCGCTTGGTATTAGAATTTTCCGGTCCGTACATAAAAAGTTGCTACTGGCGATGCTTTAATACCATGCAATTACTACATATACATATACAAGTTATTATTTATCAATACCACTTGGGTATATACTCTTAAACAACTGGTATTGAATTATTACGAATCATTACTGGACGGAGTATATATATGCATGACTCTACCGGCATCGGTAACATTGATCGTTACGGCGTAGTAATGAGGTGGTAATGAAATGTGTACCACTCAGAATCAAACTAAAACCAATCCGGTAAGGAATTATTATCAAATCAATACCAGCATGGAGTACATATGTGCCTCTACCGGATGCTTTACAGTGTAGTCGCATATAAATACCGCATGGTATGATATTGATACTGGATTTATAGGTGTGTATGAGTAAGTATTTACGGTAAGTGACATATCATTATAGTTTGTGGAAAAATTTGATCACATCTTTCATGCACAGGCCCTCAATGTACCTGTTACTTGTTACGGGACTGGTATAAAACCCAGGCCAAAATCAGGTTATCACTCAATACGATTTTGCCAATGCTTGATAACCCACCCCAACTAAAGTTTTGCATAATCACGAAGGCAAACATGTCTCAAAATTCGCTACTACTCTTAAGTGTGGTCCCGTTCCTGACACAATTAACCCTCTCAACTGGAACGATTTTACAGGCCACCTTTTTACAGACAAGGTTGCCTGTTCCGGACAACTGTACCCGGCCATACCATTTCCCCTGGGAGGATGTCATCACCCTGTTTGGAAGCTGTCGTACTAATGGGAACCAAAATAAGGACATTCTCCGTTTCAGAATATCAACCGATACCATTGAGAAGGTAAGAACTTTATGTTCACTTTGTTACTGTGATTATTCTTAGGATGAGTCACATGCCAAATTCATAAAACACTTTAAGAAAACACTTTTCAGTTATCCGCAGTGCAGTATTTAACATTCCCTTGTGTGCAGGTTTCAACGTTTCAACGTTCCCTCTTGAATGTATTCAAATGGCGATTTTGAAACATGTTAATTTCCCTGCGTTTTTTTTACAAAATGAGGACTTTTTTAAATAAGATTTTTATGAAGACTTTATTGAATAAAATCTTAATGGAGATTTTGACTTACAAAGTTAGGAATTTTGATTTTTTCTTCAATGAGAAAATATTTAATTTTCCCTTATTATTTTTATCCGTTGTATTTCCATTATCAATTTTTCGATGCTATCAAATCTTTAGTTTATAAAAGTTCACGGAAAGGAACAGGTTTAAGAATCGCTATTTGAATTCATGTATGAAGGGAAAGTTGAGAAACCACTAATAAAATTGAAAACTCTACACTAAGAATTTAAAAAATAATTATTTTGCGGAATACGTATTACAGAATTACAAAAGAAAAATATTCCTTAAAGTCCGTCAATTAAACAATTAAATTCCTATATGCATCCACTTTATCTCCAGGTGGGTGAACTATTGGAGGAAACAAATCGTGGCTCGGTGCAGGCCGACACCGCCGGGAATATATACTACTTGGGCGGAGTTTCTAATTGGGTACAGAAATATAACGCCGCTCAAAATGTGACAGAACGTGTCACCACTTTCCCCTTTAATCTACGAGATTCGACCTCCGTAAATATCAACAGTACGAGCAATGAGGTCATAGTTTTTGGCGGGTATGGAATTCCGAGTGCGGTCTACTCCATCGACCTTGACACATTTTCGACCCAATATAAGACCACGCTACCCCAAAATATTTTAGAAGCTACCTCCGTCCGAGTGGGTGATTTTGCGTACATTTTCGATTCCGGGGCATCACGAAATAACCGACAAGTAATGCGGGTAAATTTGAAAAACTTCACTACCGAGATGGTGGGACCACCCACCCTTCCCGCCTTTTCGTTGAGACCTTCCTCCGTTTATGATAGTACCGGGAATAAAGTGTATGTCATTGGAGGGTATACTTTCGCCGGAAATGAGGGTAATCCTACCGCGGGAATTTACGAGTTTGACCCGGTCACATTTGAAAATAGGTTTATCCCAGTGGCAAATTTCCCCGTGACGGGGGAAATGTATTGGGGAATTTCTCCGGCAGCAGTTTATGTAGAGGGCTTGGACAGGATCTATTTCTTTGGGGGGTCCTTAGTAACCTCGTACAGTTGGTACCAGAATGAAATCTTCTATGTGAGTCTGGCCCCATTACGGGGAAATTTGGGGTGATGTGCTAACCTTGGTTTGATAAAAAAAATTATATATGTGTGATATAAAATTAACGTTTGTGTTAGAGGGTGATACTGTACAAAATTTATTAGTTTGATAAATAAACTAAATTTTCTCGAGTCTGATAAATAAATAATTTGTGAATCCTCCTCTTACATACATACTCTTACATACTTACATATGCATCGATACAAATTTGAGATCTGACCCTTTCTGCTCATATAAAAAATACTAGCATATAAGCCCGTCTCCCGCCGGGCGAGAGTTGATTTGGAATTGGGATAGTGGGGGCTTACCTAACCTAACCCGGGTCATCAGCACCCCCGATAACCACCACCCACAGATAACCATGAGACCACATAGCAGAGAGGATCATACCTTTCTTCATTTAATTTTTTGAACTTAATGTTTTCAGCGTCAATTGAAACTTGGCGTTCTTTACTTTCACTTCCGTTTCGGAAAATTACTTTCACTTCCGTTGCAGACAAACATTTCCAACTTATAATATGGATAAACTCAGCAAACGTGGGAATTACTTCCTTACAGTGGCGGTCACAATTGACCGTCCACTTTTTAATGCCGGATCTACATACATCTGTATTCGGTCTGTACTGTTGACCCAATCTCACCGTTCCTTGTATCTAATTGTAGGTCCATTAATACTCTTTCGAAATCTGTAATTACTTACATATTATATTTCTATTGGTGAGGCATGAGAAAATAAATCATGCAAATTACAAATGAAAATTAACGCGTCAAAATTGTACGTCCAGTTACAATTATTTTCAAATAATGCAGCATAAATTAATTTTCCCATCGAAATAAGTTTATAAATGCAATATGCAGACACGTTGATACTAAATTTGATTAAAGTTATGGACGTCACCTTTTTGCAAATAAATTTCTTTATACATACATGCGATCTTATGAAACGCATAATGACACATAAGTGCAAATGTTCACTCCGATAATGTGCAACTTAAAACAAAATAAATTCCACTCATCATACCAATAAATAACTCTCTAGAGGCGTGGCATTTTCGAATGAGCACCATTTGAAATGAGTGTTATTCAAGTATGTGACAATGTGTCGAAATTTTGTAGGCAGCTAATATACATTGACAGTTGGAGGTTCAAAAATTACATGGTGGATATCAGGCTAATAAATAATGTTGAAACTTAGAATACTACCGTTGATAAATACATAGATCGGATATTTTGCGTACTCCGTACTTCATGTACTCCGGTCTCCAGAAAAAGTCGCGTACTCCAAGCCCTGAGTACTCCGATCTATGGATAAATATGCTGCAATATCTTCATTTGCACTTCTTGCAATATGTTTCGTCAACACGATTCTAGTTCTTATCAGTTTTCATTATTTTTTTACAATTATTAGAAAACGTATTATGGAAACTGGTTGTTTATACCGTGTGACTTTTATGGGATAAAAATTCTGCAATGTAACCGTCATGGAAAAAGAATTATGCAAAGTGACCGGTGACGCTTGCATACAAATCTCATGCTTTTTGTATACATATTGACTCTTGCGAGAGTGGTTTCTGTTATAATTACGTTTACATTTTACACACACTCATTATATCAGGAATTAAAATGAATGAATTAAAATGAACTACTATTGGATAATACCTTGAATCGAAACACGACCAACTAGTTTTGATTGTATTTTTACTTCTCCCACTGTTTGATACATTATGCAGAGTAGGATCGGGCAAACCCTTGGCTCCGAGAGAAAGCACAGCACCAAACTTTAGTTGCGTCTTCGCAGTAGTTCACTCTCCATTGATTTGATTTGATTTATTTAAACCTTTATTCACGTGTTAATAGTTATCAGTTTACAAAACTATGACACAGCAGATAAAACTATGTATTTGATGAATGCCCCTTGACCTTGCCGGCCCTAAATTTATAATTTCGACATTACAAGTTGCGTTACTTACTTAATAAATATACAACTTTAAACAAAAAACACTAATATTAACCAACTCACCATCAAGTTCTTTACAAAAAATCACCATCCTCTCATGTAATCTCACAACGGGATGATTTGACCTTATCGCAATAAGAGCAAAGAAATTCTCCTTCGAATTCCTTATGCTCAAAGCGTTTGCCGATAGTGTATTTCTGCTGTTGAAAATACACAAACAAATAGATTAATGAAGAATCGAAGGTCTAGATATTACTTAATTACTGAATTATTATTGTCAGCCTCACCTTCTGACCCTTGACGTTGTACAAGAGGGCGATTCGCTGCCACATTTCACCCCCAAATATTCGAACATACGGGAATACCGGCTTTTCACGTCAATCAGATTTAAATTTTTCATATTTTTCCGGTGAATCCTGTACCCGAATAAGGATTTCACCCGTGTTGTGCTCGGTCGATCCAACTACCCGTAGAATCCGGAACACCTATAAGCGTGCCTGCAGTTCTGACTATTGAGCTTCGATAAGGACACTTTAACTTAAAATTCACTTGGATGCCTAGATGTGCCCTTTTAACTTGAACAAGTAGTCCCAATGACTTAACTTTACTGATATAATGTCGGCGAATTAATAAAGACTCAAACACTGTAATTAATTGTAACAACTTCAATTAATTAGGACTTTTAAATTACTTTTCGCACGACCACAAATCCAACTTCTTCACTTGACTACTTACAACTTATACTAACGTAAAAATACGTAGTTCATGACTACCAAAAACCAACGCGCTCCTTTTCTCCTCATTCTCCCCCTTACACTTAATCATTATACGAATCCCTCAACCACCCACTCAATACATAGGTAATGTACGTACATAGGTAATGCGCGTACATAAGGATCATTATTCTACATAAGGATCATTCATTCTACATAAGGACCATGCATTCTACATAAGGATCATTTTCTACATAAGGATCATTATTCTACATAAGGATCGTTCATTCTACATAAGGATCATTTACCAAATACTTAGAAATGCACTATCAAAATTACTCGATGGACAAATTCATATCTCTACAATTGATTTCAACTTATCAACTACCATTGTATCACCGTGAATCGAACATTACTCCCACCTTCTTTTGGGAGGTGATATATCCAAAAGAATTTAAACGAAAACTACATAGGATATGCACGTACATAGGATATGCACGTACATAGGATATGCAGGTACATAGGTAATGCACGTACATAGGTAATGCACGTACATAGGTAGGTAGGTAGGTAGGTAGGTTTATTCAAGATTGATATAGCGCAAGCTCTTACAATCATCATCGTTCATTCATTTCATACAAAAGTTCATTCAAATTACATACATAGTTTCATAATGATTAAATCTAAGAATTAACAAAGTACGTGCTCAGTTGTGGGCATAATCCACAAGTAGCACACGGCATCCCAATACAGGCTAATCACACACTATGATAAATTTATAAAATCTAATGATAATATGTATGTAGCAGTATGGGTGTAGAGGAAAAACCGGAGATGGTCTCGGAAAACCTCTACATGTATTGGGAAGTTGGCCCAATACACCATTCGGCCCATTACTGCTGGACACCAGGTAGGAAAATGAATGGCAGGGATACATAGGCGGATTCCGTGGGGTGGTGGTGATATTCAAATGAGGGTGGCGTCTGCATGCGGAAGTAGACGGTTGAAGGTTGTTGGGCGGGGGCTGTCCACGGACCGCGGGATCTTGCCCACGTCCCCCATGGAAGCCGTTGCCGGGGCCGACGACACCCCCACTTGCCCCTTCTCCCATCACAACACAATCAGGTCATGGGACCCCCGTAGACCCGACTATGCCGCCCTCCGACATGCACGACCCCCTCCTCCACTCTTCAACCAACCACTCCCCACGGTCACCACCCCGATATGCCAAACAAAAACCTACCTGGGGGAGCCCCTCCAAGGCGTAGATCCTCCTGTGCACTGGGTCCTGCGAATCCATCTTCGCCTGTTGGCTCAGCTTGTCGTTGCTGGGACGGGTGTGGCAGGGGGTGTCACTAGGCACGCAGGTGGGGGGTGTGAGTGGACGAGGCTCACGTGGCGAAAAGCCCTTAGGACACACTTTACTTGCCCTGGCACACCCGCGACCCAGATGGAAGAGGATCCAGATGCAGAGCGAGAGAGAGATACGTCGTGCACGGAGGAAGCCAAAGAGGAGACTCCACGTACATAGGTAATGTACGTACAGAATTTGGTCACGGATAATTGTACGCTGCATTCTCAAGAGTTCGGCGATAATGTGACGTAAACATAGATCGGAGTACTCCGGGCTTGAAGTACGTACTCCGGCCTCCGGAGCCCGGAGTACGCGAATTTTTCCGGAGTACGGAGTACGCGAGATTTGCCGGAGGCCGGAGTACGGAGTACGCAAAATATTTGATCCCATAGATGGGAATACTACTGGCCTAGAGTACGTACTCAGGCCTCCGGACATGCACGTAAAAGATACTCACTGAAGTATCGGACTGGCTCAATAAAATGCTCATAACTTTACACACAGTTAACGCAATTTAAAAAAATTGCATATGTTTACTATCAAAGCGTATGGATTATCCTGCAGCTAAAATTTTAATGATTTAATTCCTCTATCAGCTACAGATTGTATTTTCTTCGGATTTCGCATGAAATTCCGCCCAGAGACTGCATCTACTTTCAAGCAGACTTTCTTCCACCTGTTGTTAAATTTGCTTAACGTGTCTGGCGTTTCTGAAAGCTTATAATGTTTGTGTTTAGTCAGCGGCAAGAATTTCTCAATTGCTCGCAGTTGAGGAAAATTTGGTGGGTTTTTGTTTTGTGGCACAAATTGAATTTTCGTAGGTACTCCGTGACCTTTTTTGGGCATAATGTGACTTTGCGATGTCAGGCCAAAACAAAGCTTTATGCCAATAAACGATTCCAGTAACTCTTCAATGCAATAAACCTCCTGGTTTACAGTGCCTGGTCTAGGTCGCAGTCTGAAATTTCTTTTCCCGGCATATTTACACGGAGTGACTGTACATACCGTACATAAAGTTTTGATGTACATGAAAATTTGAGTGCAGAAGTTTTGGTGGTTTGGAAATTTACGTTTTATGTCCAAATTTAATAATGTGACGATAATTTTAGGATACAGACTTTTAAAATTTGTAAAATTTGCATTTTAAATGATATTGCCATTGGCCCCTTGAGAATTATTCGTAACAATCTTCTTCCGCCTCCTTCTTTTGCTCCTCGTCGTATATGTTAGGCTGCCATTTGCCTCGCAGATCAGGGAGAGGCACTCCCAGACCTCCCAGACCTGGATTAGTTGGATAATAATTCATATCTGCTAATTAATAATTTGCTAACCCAATTTTTGACAAAACTTACGACTCAAGCTCCTCATCTGGAGAAACTGAATATTCCTCACTCCCCTCCAATCTCCTTGTTTTCTCATGACTTCCAGTTCGGGATTATCATAGTCAACGCTTTTCGAGTGGGATTCCATTGCCAAAATCACGATGGCGCCGCAGTCTCGGTTGCGGCCTTGACGAGAAATCCCGTCAATCTGCTCATACGTTTCGCTCATAGGCCAGTCGGACCCTTCATCCAACTCCCACCCCTGTTGGTCTGGAAGGGCATGCCGTAGAAGTTGTCGAAACAGCTAAACAAATATATGAAAAATAAAATAAACTTACTAGGTAAAATATTGTACATTATTATTGTGTTGAATCAAAAATCACCCTCATGTTGGCGACGAGTCCGTCTCTGGTTCTTTTCATATACAGGTTGGACTCGGTTTTATCCTCGAATGTATCGAAACCTGCTTCAATTTTTTCTCCTGGACGAATGGGGTCAAATATGGACAATCCGACTTGCCGAATGTTTGCAGTCATTAAGGTCCAATGCTGAGAATAATGGATGTGGAGGGGAGCCAGCACAACATCAATGTTCTCCCGATTCTGATTTCATACATATAAATTATGGTTTATACAATTTTACATTTGTAATGAAGTTTTGTTAACCCGTCTCAATGTTTCTACAAAAGGCTGAAGTTCAGGATGATGTACATCTCTGCTCTGCAGTAAAATCTGCATCGAGGACATGGGGAAGTATACCGTCGGAATCATGTTGTCATCCACATTTGAATTTTCCGCGATCATAGATCCGTATGCATCCAGCACCTAAATATGTATTTATGAACAATTTATGAACCTAAGTATTTATGGTTTATTTTATTACATTTCCCACAAAATTGAATTGTTTTTTTACAGCGTCAGAATAATCGGCGTTGAGTATGGCTGCTCCATCCTCGTATGAAAGATCAATCCCATGTACGTTTCCCCAATGTTCGCCATTCTGATGACCAACGAGCTATATTTTGACAGTTTTTGTTTTTATTTTCAATATATACACATAGTACGGAAATTCTGAATAAATTATATTACCTCGTGCCAAGGACCTTGGAGGTACTGGTCAAAGTCAGACTTTTTGATTACCACCTCGTGATGGGGCACTTTTTTGCGAAGAATCCTTTTTTGGGGAACTTTTTTCTGAGCAGTGGTTGGCAGTGAGGGGAGCAATTTTGATTCATTCAGTATTCCTGAATGAATAATAAAAATAGGTTGAGGATATTGCATATACATAGATTTTGTAGTTTGCCTATTTCATAATCTTACGGGTAAAGTTCCGCACTACTTCTGGAATGAGGACATCAAGCTGAGGTAGACGAGGAATTGGGGACGGAAAGAAATTGTCGATAATTTCAGAGTTGACAGCAAGCCCCTCACCGTTTTTATGGTGTATGACATGAGTTTCCCGATCGTACTGGGATCTATCTATGCCCTGCTTCATCGCCTTCATGAAAGCGTAGGTCATTGCGGTACTCACGTCCGAAATAAATCGGTGGACCGTCGTTTCCTCCTTGTTTGTGAGTTTCGTTTTAGAATTCCACTCGTCGGTGAACTGCTTGGCTTTTGTAGGAACTTTGCATTTGTAGCTCCTGCCAGAGTCTATAGTATCCATAATTAAGATTACTAATACGTATGTAATTATAATTAGTAATTAATTACTTGGCTTCAATTGAATAACAAAGTACTTAATTACTCTATTGCTTCGAATTAGAATGCTTATTGTGTAAAATCGTGATTTGCAAGATCGGTTTTAGACGATTGTGAAGATTAATTTTGCGTTAACTATGCTCCCGGTATCAATTATACATTTTCTGTTGCTTTGACTTGTTGGAATCTATGTACTTCCCACAATTAGATTAATTAACTGCCAACTCTTAAAGGTTAATTGCTGTTCATTAGTACATTTACGGTCTTAGAAATATATGTCGCATTAAAATAATACCAAGCGGTATTCATATGTGACTCTACCAAAGTGGTATTGGTAAGTAATGCAGTGTAGTACATACATATATTAGCTCGGTATTAAAGTTTTACCATATCGGTAGCAAATGTTTACGGATCGGTAAAAATTTACCATTCGACGGGTATAATTTTAAAACCAAACGGTTGCAACTTTGATACCGGGAAATGAATACCTGTGTGACTACAGGGTCACAGATCCTATTTGCACAGTGAGAAAAACTGACCAAAGTCATGGGCGGATAAGGTTTTTTGTACTTTCGCAATTTGACTCTCAAAACGTAGTTCTTTGGGGTGAATTTGACGTTTGGTTGACAAAAATCGGTCAACAAATGCCAAAGAAATCGACATCCGAAGTCGACCATCTCCTTCCGCATTTTTCCGAAGGAAAATTGTCACGTGGGAAAATTGTGGAGAAGTAGAACATATCCGGATGCAATGTTACTCGTTCTTCAACATATCGTGAACTTAGTTCCGCTTTAATTAGATCAATATCTAAATTAGCGGGACTGGCATCCCCAATAAAGTTGCAGCCCCCAAAAAACTTTTCGCGTACCGTTTTTCGAAAAATCGACGCCCTGACAAGGCGAGGAAATCTTTTGACCCAAACTCAAATTGGAAAAGTTGTTAAAATATGTCAGCTGCATGTAAGTAGCGTCATCAACAACAAACTTTAAAAACAGGTCAGAAAAAGCCCAAAGTTCACGCGAAAACAAACTTCACAACGAAAATCTCTGGGAAAACGACCCAGTATGCAGCCGAGTAAAAACAAAAGCTAAAAGCAAAAGGATTTCAATTGTTCCTAATTCTCAGGTACCAATGACAAATCCTTATGCCACTCCTTTAGATTTTTAATGGGTTTAGACTATTAAAACCATAGCTTCTTCTCAGACGAGCTCCAGTTTTTTTTGGTGTTTCGGAAAAACCTTCAGGTGGAGTTGAAGAAGATTGCTCTTCAAAATATAGGCAGATTAATGAATTCGTGAAAACGGCGATATAGGCTGGCTAGCCAAAGGTGTGAGGAACGTATTGAATAATCGAAACAAATTCATCGACGCCGAGTGAAGGTTTGAGGTCAATTTTAAAACCTGTGCAAATACGATCTGTGATCCTCAGTATACCATACTTTTAAGATTGTACCGTCATTATGTAAAAAATGTAATTAATTTGTAATTAAGTAATTAATTCCTTCGGCGGAAGTAATTGTAATTGTTATTAATTATTCGACTGATGTAATTAGTAATTGGGTAATTAATTACATTCTTTCGTCAGATGTAATTAAGTAATTAGTAATTAATTGCAAACTTAGGTAATTAAGCAACACTGCTTAAACTTACCAACGTCCACGGTGGGCCCCCAATAACCTCCACCTGCTTGAGACTTTTTCACCTTTACGCTTCGGATTTTATCCATCTCCTCCTGGATCGCAGCGTCCAACTCTTCCAACGCCTTCTTCACTCTATCAGAAGTCAAAAAATGCTCGGCCTTGTCTTCATCGTTTCCAATCCCAAGGTCAACTGTTTCGGTTTCCTCATCAACCACAGTTCTCCTTGCGTATTTCGGAGGTCTTCCCCTGCCCCTGGCTGGAAGTTCGTCTCTTGACACTTTGGGCCGAGTTCCTTGCTTCGGGGGACCCCTTCTTTTTTGGTCCTAATTATTTTATCACACAAAATGTCAATTCAAATTTCAAGTACAATAGTTTGGCTTATAGATATGTCCAATATCTAACCGGAAGTGGCGGACGACCAAAGAGGGACTCTGGAATGGGGGGGCACGAAGCAGATGGTTCTGGAATTGCGGGGAACGGTTAGGCTGCCTCCTCCTGGCGTCTGTTGAGCTCCGCCATGTATGAGTCGTTGACGTCCCTGAATAAGTCAACTTTTGGTTTTTCTGTCAACTCAGAGCCACATGGATCTGCCGTAGTATCTGGGCGTCTCCTTAAATCGGCTACCGATTTGGCATTTTCAATTGCTTTTGATAAGGCAGCGGCTCGGGGCAAGTAACTGGTTGAAGATGCAAATGACCGTGTTGATGATTCCTGTCGCAGTGACGAACGACTTGTCCGATCTGATTTGGGGTGACCGGCCCACTTTCGACCGAATGGTCCTCTTGGGATAACGATACCCTCCTCTTTCTTCTTTTTGGACTGGTAGTAATACTTGCGATTACCTTTGACAACTTCTTCAGTCCGATTCCGATACACCACAAATTTGTTCCCGCCTTTGATAGGTCGTCCAACTGAGGACTTTTTTGGACGAACCACGGCCTTCCCAGGTTCAGGGTCACTGAAATCTTCGTCCGAAGGGGATGAGTCTGTTTTGTTGTCCAGCTTTGGGATTTTATTTGAAGGCTGACGAGATGATCCACTGAAAGATTAGTCAGAAGAAGAAGACATAATTCAGAACTTAAGCCTAGATTTTACACTAACTTACAATGGAACCTTTTTTCAAGCTACACCGGGATTGACTAACGAATTATATCATAAAATCAAGCCAAAAATTAGGAATCGCATGGCGCTTATCGTTCCGTTGAATGGCCCCTTTGAAGAAAAATATTAGGGGCCAAAGTTCGCACGAGCGCCTTAGTTTTCGCCCCGTGGAGGAAAAAGCAAGGGAAAATTTGCTCAAAAATTGAACTTAACCGCCAATATTTTTCTTCAAAGGGGCCATTCAATGGAAAGATAAGTGTCACGTGACTCCTAATTTTTGACTTGATTTTTTGATATAACTCGTTAGTCAATCCCGGTGTAGCTTGAAAAAAGGTTCCATTGTTAGATACAAAAAGAAAAAAAATTGAGCAGAGTAGATGTTAATTTGTTGAAAGTCAAAATTGTACTGAAGAATGAAGTTCAAAAAAATGACTCTTGTCTGCATTACAAATTTCCAATGTTTAAAAATCTCTTTGTCATACTTACGTGGTATATTACATTCGTATTATCTACCTTGTATTAATATGAAAATTAGTTGTCTACCTAAAAGCTGTCTTTACTTTTTAAACATCAAAAAACTTTCAATTTTTTTACATGAAATCCACAAATATGCTGGCAAAGTTTGAAATTAATAAAACCTCCAACCGAATGTAGATAAGTAGCGTCAGAGATATCCCAGTTTCCTTTAACGTTCCGTATATGACCTTGTCCACAAGGTCATAAGGTCAAAGATATAAATGTCTTTGAGTTCGCGGTGGAATTTCCTTTAAAATGACACACCATATGAAAGTTAAGGTTAAATTTAATTTTGGACCACGCCCCTTGTCGCAGTGGGGTGTGGTCCGATTGACCCAATTTTTGAACTCGACCGAGAACTCAAAATTAGAAACACAATGTCGAAAACGGGGTTTGATTATCGTCCCTGAGATATCCTGCTTACGGACGCACGGAAAAACGGACAGCCGGACAAAACGACCACAAGAGTAGCTGACGCTACTTAATAAACAAAAATAAATTTGGAGAGGAAACTAATTGAACTGTACTGTATATGTATTGGTTTTAAACAACGAAATTCTTGTATAGCATAATGTGCTTTGAGCTTTGCCTGGCATGTTTACACAGAGGGACACATACTGATACCATTTTTCCTTTGAAAGATGTGGAGTCGGTATGTCGTGGGGGCCTGGGACATCTTCGGCATTTGATTCGTTGTGAATTTCCTCATCAGCTCTAATAAATTTTTTAAAACAATATTATCATTTTTTTTGGTACTGCATGAAATAGGTGTACAAACAATTAATTAGTTTGTAGTACCCTTGTAATTCACATAAATCACCACCAAAGCTAGCTTCATCTTCAGTATGTTGCACTGGTGGTGTGTTCGTGGGTGACCCACGTGCCTGTGTAAATCGTTTCCGGTCCCTCCCTTCATCGGAAATCTTGCGTTGATCCTAAAAAATGTTTAATATTATTTTCACACAATCGATAGATATGTTTATATATATTTATACAAAGCGATAATAAATACAATCCGCAAAAGAAATTAAGCATGTAATTTATTTAACAACTTTACCGGTAGATTGACGTCCATAACGAAATAGCACGAACGTGAATGAACTTGAACTAGTTGTGGTCGAAGTCTAGATTTTTCGCAATAATTTTTATGAGGATGACAACCCTTTCCGCGGTTGTAAAATTTTAGAATTTCCTCTAACTATAATTTTCGAAATTCAATTCAAGGCCACAAGGTATTTGATGAATTTGCCCTCCTCCACTTATGACTGCTTTTGGATAACCACTTTTTTTGTAATTGTAAGCTTTTTAAACGGATTCATGAAGAATAAAGTAATTAATTGTTGTGGTAATCTAGATTGTTGAAAAAATAGAAACCCACATGGGACACTGGCGACGGGAATACAAAACCCGGCAATGAGAAGCGGCTGATTTTGTTGATGATAGGGGCAACACAATACCGTGTACCAATATTTCCTTGTCTACCCAGCAAATGTGTGAAAAAATCGTTTAATGATTATTCACAGGTTTGATGTTAATATTTTGTAATTTGTCAAATTTGCATACACATTTGCATATTCTTCCTTTCTCAGTACTTTGTTTTCCTCACAGGAAAGACTTTTATTTCCAAAAATTAGGTTCAATTATTTTTTGAAGCGAAAAATATAGAATCTTTTAAAGTAACGTCAATAAACTAATTTCAAGTTTACAATTAGAAACATGTGACGGAATGAGATGCACAGGATAGAGGCAAATATATTACGTTACAAATTGTTATATATAATTTCTGCTCATCTTTTCCCACCAAAATAATGGTTATATCGAGAATGAAATTTTTTAAGGCCTGAAACGCATTGATGCGCTGACCTGCATGAATACAGAGTGTAGTACACTTTGTTCCATGTCTCTATCACTTCTAGATCTATTTCTAGACCCATATCTTGTGGGGTGAAAGTTGGAAAAAATATCGAATAAACTCTATTTTGTCAATTTTTCAACCCCGAGATTTCGTGATCCAGAAAGTCGAGAGACATGGAACAAAGCGTATTACACTCTATAGTCATACAGGCTAAAGGATTAATTGGTTTGAGGTCCTAAAAAAATTCCAATCCCGAAATAACGGGAATTAAGGTTTTTTACGGCCATATATATTTGTACATAGGGAAGCCGTTTCTGGAGGGAATATGTAAAATACATTGGGAATACGTACAATACAGAGGGAATACGTAAAATACATTGGGAATACGTACAATACAGAGGGAATACGTAAAATAACAGGAATATTTTACTTATGTATAGTACTTATGTATTTCATCAATATTTATCTGTAACAATATAATATTCGTATCTAGTAGACGAAAATATCTGATTGCTCCGGCTCGTCTACGTGGAGTTTTTGGTCAGGATTTATTTCTTTGGCGGGTCCTTAGTAACTTCGCACACTTGGTATCAGAACGGAATTTTCCACGGAACGGAAGTATTTAGTACATGATCCCAATGTAGAATGCATGATCCTTATGTGGAATGCATGATCCTTATGTTGAATGCATGATCCTTATGCAGATTGCATGATCCTTATGATCCTTATGTAAAATAAATGATCCTTATGTAGAATGTATGATCCTTATGCAAAATAAATGATCCCCATGTAGAATGTATCATCCTTATGTAGAATGCATGATCCTTATGTAGAATGTATGATCCTTATGTAAAATAAATGATCCTTATGTAGAATGCATGATCCTTATGTAGAAAATGATCCTTATGCATAAAATGATCCTTATGTAGAAAATGATCCTTATGTAGAAAATGATCTTTATGCAGAAAATAATCCTTATGTAGAATGAAGGATCCTTATGTAGAATGAATGATCCTTACGTAGAATAATGATCCTTATGTAGAAAATGATCCTTATGTACGCGCATTACCTATGTACGTATATTACCTATGTACGTATATTACCTATGTACGTACATTACCAATGTATGTATTGAGTGGGTGGTTGAGCGATTCGTATAATGATTAAGTGTAAGCGGGAGAATCCGAAGAAAAAATAGCGCGCTGGTTTTTGGTAGTCAAGAACTACGTATTTTTAAGTTAATATAAAGTTGTAAGTGGTCAAGTGAAGAAGTTGGATTTGTGGTCGTGCGAAAAATAATTTAAAAGTCCTAATTAATTGAAGTTGTTATAATTAATTACAGTGTTCGAGTCTTTATTAATTCGCCGACATTATATAAGTAAAGTGAAGTCATTGGGACTACTTGTTTAAGTTAAAATTGCAAATCTGGGCATCCAAGTGAATTTTAAGTTAAAGTGTCCTTATCGGAGCTCCATTGTCAGACACACTTATAGGTGTTACGGATTCGACGGGTAGTTGGATCGACCTAGCACAACAATTCTGGTCCCATTAAGGGCAAGGTGATGAGTTGAAAAATATATGCTATGAAATTAAAGTTTGTACTTAAAGGGAAGAATGTGCGAAATTTATTAGTTTGGCAAATAAAATAAATTTGCTTGAGGCTGGTAAATAAATAAATTGTAAATACTCGTAGTCCTTTGTCACAAATTTGTCCATAATTTGATACCTTACTCTCGCAGCCATCGCGACTCGCGACTCGAGAGACGCTCCTTGTTTTGGAATTTTTTAATTGTGTCACCGTCAGTAAGTGCATCCTTCGATTAGCATTACCATTTTTTTCTAAGTTTGTCGGTATCTACATGTTTTCTGGCTTCTCATCAATTTTTATTTTACCAATAGACTTGCTAATTATAACTGAAATGCTTAGTATGTACTATAATACAGTAAATTCATATAAATATTTAATTGTGGTTATTTTTAATCCACCAGACTTTTAATTGAAATTACATAACTAAATATATTGAATTCACATAACTTGAATTTACAGTGCTTTAATTCGATTAAAAAACTGTAAAATTTGTAAAATTGAAATCTGCCATACTTTTTAAAATCATACATTTTATTCAATTAAAACAATTTTTCGCGAGAAATAGAAGGAAAACTTGGGTTATTTCTTATAAATCTGTTATAAACAATTTTAGTCGACAAGTAGTGCGCTTTTGGCCTTCGCTGGGCGAGCTCTGTGCCAACTGGAGCGGTCACAGCTTCATCCTGACGGTGAAATCTTTCAAGCCCTCTTCCCTATACATATTCCCTCGACAGGAGGGAATATGTTGACGAAGTTGAGGATGAACGGTCGAAAAAATTTCTTAATTTCGAATTTGGAATCTCAGAGCTTCTACGACATATGTAAGTCCGATGGTTCTCCCAAAAATAAGTACAATTCTATTCTCATCTTTGCTTTTGAGGTAATTAACACCGATGGAGGTTTCGCAATTCCATCTTTTCTTAAAGAATCGATTATTCCATTCGCTTCGCCAGGGATGCCATGCTTGCTTCCTCTGTTATGTTCGTGAGCTTTACCATTTGTCAGAATATTTGCTATTTAAGTTCGTAACAGAATATAATATAGGTCAATTGGTAACATGGCTTTTAGAATGTTTCAAGTGGTCCAATTTATTTTTAACTTGTCGACGCTTTTAGAGTGGTGGTGGCACAGCGTTATCTTCAAAATTCATAGATTCGCCGTCCTAATACATCACAGTGTTAAAATTTTTGTACATTTTAAATGAATCAGTTGTTCTGGATGTTATTTATTTTAGTTATTTTCCTGAACAGTCACTATCTTAATGGTTATTTGCATATAAATGAATGTACAAGTTATGAAAATACGTGTCTGACGGATTCAGTTATAGGGATGGTTCCATCGTACAAAAAGTACTGTGAATTCAAGCTATGTATACGTAATTTCAATATATTTAGTTATGTGATTTCAATTAAAAGTCTGGCCCATTAAATGACACCCTATTTAAATATAAGAAGCTTACGTTATTTTGACCTTTGCATTTTGCAATTTCATGCTCTACATCCTGTAAAATTATTTGTTCCCCTTTAGCGCCAACAAAGTTCTAAACAAACCGCGGACAATACCCTGCAAGAACTTCAATACCGACTTGTGCGATATTATCATGTACCCATCAAGCCCGAGAAATATTGGTTTACAACTCTTCCTAAACTTCGACATATATTTCCTGTCCGCCCTCGATTCCCAGTGATCTCCAAGCACTCTCCAAGAGGTTAAACACTCATTCGAAGACTTTTGTATTTTTCCCGCGCAAATCATAAGTGCCGTCCAAGAAAGCACGGCGAATGACACAGTTAAAATGAAAGCCATCTTCGTTGCGCCATCTATTTTTGCTCCTTCCGCGATACATATGTACCCCGTGGAAATAGTGAGTTGCCCCAGAAGTGTTTGACAAGGTGGTAAGTATTTCCCGAACAAGAGTCTAATTTCGTGCATGGCCAGCTGCAGGGAGCGATACACGTGGATGAGATGTTCTCGGTGTGCCCCAAGTTCTGGGGAACATTTGAATTTCCTGACTTTCCCGGGGGGTTTCTTGGTTAGCGTGAGTTCTTGTATGATCGGTAGGGCAAGAATGATTAAAGTTGAGAAAGCCTGGAACATTATTTGAACAAATGATGCGACAAAATAGAACGTGAGCGTCATGGCGGGAGTGTAGATCAAGTAGGCTAAATAAAATAGAAAGGGGTAATTTGAGAACATATCCGGCCAGTGCATCGAATGTCGGGGTGAGATTAAAATTTGACTTAGGTTGAAAGGTTTAGGACAAATTGAGTTGGGCGCGTAATTCTGAGCCAGATTCGGTCGAACGATGTAATAGCGGTAGATCCAGGGAAGTTCCAATAGTTTTCTGTTAATAGGAAGAAAGAACATAGAAATAGCTTAGAATACTTTAAAACATAATGCTGGAATTTTTTAGCGACTTATGCCAAAAAATCGAGCCAAAAATTAGGAGTCACATGACCGATGGATGGCTAATTTGAATAAAAATATTTGTTAGCAGAGCTTAAACGTTCGCCTTGTTTTCGCCGCGTAGTGGAAAAAGCTTGCCGAAAAAATTAAACTTTGCCGCCAATATTTTCCATTCAAAATGTCATTAATATTTGGCTCGATTTTTTGACATAACTCGCTAAAAAATGCAGATGTAGCTTGAAAAAAGGTTCCATTGCTGGTGCATTTTACTTAATAAACTCGTAGGATTAAAAACTCATTTACATACTTTTCAAACGGTGCAACATTATTTGTAAGAGTGTACAAACTGTAAAAAAGCACGAGTGAAACATAAATCTTACACATACATACCATAAAATTTTACGCTGTATAAAAACATGGCATTCCAATTTCGCGCGACTTCCTTCCCCTGATTAGAAAACAAATATGTGCCCACACACATCGGCATTATGGCGTAGCAACATGCGAGCAGAAAATTAAAATGGTTCGAATTTTGAACAAATTTGTGCCTTATGGTTTGTCCCAGGAGGTAAAACATGTGCAAAAATATGTATCTCTTAACCATCACGGTTCTTGGGTGGATTGTTGCGGAGAATTGTAACTTTCGCGTTTTTGTGTCCCAGATTAACGGAAAACCGAACATATTTGCGGTTTTTACTGTTTTCGAAAATTCTTGACAGAATACGGCACTAAACATTTTGAAAGATTGGGTTAGCAAGTCGTACTGTGAATTTATTTCGAAGGGAGAGAAATCTACATAGGTATGAAAATAAATATGTATGTACATCTGTATGTATGATGGTGGAATTATGTAAATTAATCAATTCTTACCATGGTTTGCCAGGGTGGGAGTTTTAAACATATCCGTTCCCCTTCATTCATTTGACTGATAATGATGTTGAATGAAAATGAATGAAATCCCTGTTGTTTGAAAAAATCTACTGAAGGATTCCGTCGTTTCAGATGAATGAGTAGATGAAAGGATTTTTCAATGCTTCCATTTTTCACCGTATGCTTAATACATGGGTCGAAGTAAGAAATGAAGTCCGATGAAGTGAAATGAAATGAGTTTGAAAGAAAATGGCTGAGCGTGAATGAAAATCTTCAGTGAGAAATCAAGATGGCTGACTTTAGAATGATAAAAAATTTGAACAGGTATGTATGATTCCAGATTTACAGAATTACACAAATTGTCCTACCTTACCCCATTTTGATGGGATTAATCGTTTCAAGTAGGAGTTTGCGAAACCCAGTTTCTTGGATTAAAAAGGAATCAGATATTCATGAAATATTGTCATTAAATTTCCTTCATGCGGCTAAATTGATAGGAAATGATTACTTTCCAGTACATATTGTGAAAAATAATTATTTTCGGTCCCATCAAAAATTTAGGACCAATCTAAATAAAACGGAAAATGATTCAAATATTATACTACAGAGGGTGAACTTGTATTTAATGATTGTTATGTAACTACTGCATTATGCATTTGGTATGGAACTCACAAGGCGGCGCTAGTCGGCCGTATATAAATAAATGATACACTGTAAATTCTCTAATCATAGCCGGGTCTTGAGCCCAAAATTCAAAATTTAATACGCTTGTCTCGAATTATGAGTCATAATTTTTGACATTCGTTTAATGCTTCATCTTAAATACGTAGGTATGTATAGGATACCCGACAAAAAATTTAGCCGGGTCTCCCATTATCTCCGGTTTGTAAATTATAAACCGAATCTGTTTGACCCGCCAAGAAATATAGCATCAACATACAGCACCCTAAACAAAGTTCTGCTAAATTTGCTGAGGTTTGAGTAACAAAAGAGGATAACACAAGAATTGGGTAAAATTTCCTCAGCAGTATGACGAATTTTACACTATTCGTATGCCATCCTCTTTTTTAAACCACGATTTAATTTAGCCCCACTTTTATTTAGAGTGGAATTAAATTTACAAATTTTTTTGATATAATGCAAAATTAACACACATTCTCAAATGATTGGGCATACACGTACGTAAGGTATGCCAAAATCCTGACAGGTGCATATGTACGAATAAATATGTGCTATCTCATACATATTTATGTGTATGGATATCTCCATAAAAGGATTATCACTGTAAATAAGCCGCAAATCCATTATAAACATTTAACCCATTTTAAAAGAAGTAAGGTACAGGTAGCATTCGAGTTTTTATTACCCATTGATGACTCCACGTGTGTTGGATTTAGATAAACCAAACATTAACTAAGATAATGTTCTAGGTATGTAGATTTATATGTAAAAGAGTTTGGAGTAACATACTCCGAAGTGGTACTCATTGGTAATAACAACTTGTTAAAATGGTAATTGTTTGTTTTTGAGTGGTAAATTTTTCATTACCACAACTACATATATACCATTCGTTAGTCGTAACAAGTTAATTTGGAATTCAGGATATATTTAAATATTTCTCAAAAGAATAACAATATTTTTAACAGGGTAATAATTTTTGCACAATTTTTGGTAATCGCTGTCATCCGAAGTGTGAAAACTTTTGTTTTATTCCAGACAAAAAATATAATGGTCCGTTGCCGAATTAAATTTCTTTTATGGATCTTCTCCGTAACGGTAGGAGTCGGCATGTTTATCTTTTTGCTGCTTGATAATCAGACCAAAATATTGCCGACGAATTTATTCAGTGTGTTAAATTGGGTTAACCAGGAAAGCAGGTGAGCTAATTATTTATGAAGGTGCTAAACAAATTAAATTACTGATAAAATATTTACACTCTTAGAAATCTGGTCGGGTCAGATTTATTGATTTGGTAATAACTTCCTACCGGTTTGGTAGCAGTTCGAAGTGATAATTTTATTAGCACGACAAAACCAAAGCGTGATTCTCGTTATTACCAGAATCATACATGCTCTTTCATCGGAAATTATTTAGTACAAGTTTTCTAAGAGTGTAAAGTCTGAGCGTCAATGGGAATGAAATGAAATATTTTGTTTCCAATTATTTACTTATGAATCTAGCTTATCCGCAAATTGGCCATCGGAAACGGATAAAATACTAGCAAAATTAGAAACTGAGGAGCCCGATTGGCAGGAAATTACGGAGGCGGAAGTGTTCCATAATGAAACGTATAAGCCTCGATTTTTCGTCTACTCGGCGTACGTTGACTTTTACGAGTAAGATTTGCACACCGGTTTTATCATAATTTTCAGCAATAAATTATTATCTACATATAAATATATATGTGTGACGTCAGCCCCTTAAAGTGATCCTTTTGTCCGTCCGTTCGTCCAATTCCAAGAAGTATATCTCCAGAATGCTTCAAGGTAGTGAAGCTCCGTTTCCGCCACGGTATTTAGCCCCAGTCGACTTCAATAATGGGGGTAATTGACACCATTGTCCCCCACAGCGACAGGGGTAGGGTGGTCAAAAACTACATAAATTCAACCATTGTTATCATATGGGCTGTGATTTGAAACGAAATTTCACGAAATCAACACCGTTCATATTTTTCTTTTCCGACCAACCCCTGACCCTGTGACTATGGTTAAACGTCGAAAATTCTTAATCGTCATGGTTCGTTATTTTAGCCTTAATTGTTCTAGCCTTCTTAAACACGGGTTATCACAATATTGATCTACTAAATATATAGATAGTTTAGCGAAACAAATTGTTGTGCTGATGATTAATAACATGTAGGAAGAGTTCGACATTAAAAATTTGATCATACCGGGAGAAAATCTTTTCAGGGACCGGTATACATAATTTTAATACCAAGCGATAGCAACTTTAATACGGGGAAATCATTATGCAGATTTCTAATAGTGTACACATTTTCTTTTGTAGAAATCGCGATGTTATACGGCTAATCGCGGTAACGCCTACCTTCGCCAAAGAAGAATTTTTCGCTCATTTATTTGACGACAATCTAAATCCGCTGGACACTTACATCTGCACGATTAGTTCGACGAGGGGTTATGAACAAGGTGAAAAATACAGGTGAGCTTACAAGCACTAATTTGCTAACAATGCGATGGTATAAAGTGTAACCCTCCGATTTGCTTGAAATTTTGAAATTACTTAATTTAGCGCGGGATTCTTTCTATGCCGACAAAGGCAAAGTTCTGGTCCATATGCGAGGGGTAATTTTCTACCGGCGGTTAGACACGTGTCAGTAACACCGTTTCCAGACGCACCCAGTTTGGACCGGGATGGCCACAGATTATTTTCCAACTTGTTGAGACTATCACAGCCAATCGGAACAGATGTCGAGGAGCCGCACAAATTTGCAGTATGCGTACCGCCGGCGTACGATAATTTCGACAATGTCGTCCTGTTCTTAGAATGGTTGGAGTTCTACAAAATGATGGGTGTCGGCCACTTCACCTTTTACAATGTGTCGACAGATCCTTCCATCTCGTGCGTAATGAATTCGGCATCATTTAATGCAGGTTGGTGAATGGCATTTGAATATTTGATATGGTGTCAAAAATCGGAAAATTTTGAAAACCCGGTTTTTCGATTATTCAAATTTGGGTAGTACCGGTTTCCGATTAGTCGGATTTTGGAAAATCTTAGGAACCCGATTTTCGATTCTGTGCAAATCCGGTTTTTAAAATAGGTTTTAGAGTTAATTTTGAAAAGTTGACAAATATAATAGTTAACTAAGAATTGAATGCAAACATTTTATGCCATGATTATCCGTTGTTTACTTAAAAGTACAAGCAATTTGTTTCTAAGCAAATTTTTCTGAAATATGATCTCACTTTTGTTATCCCTTTAGAGACACCTGCAACAATTTTAAAATGGACGTTTCCCATACCATCCCGCATTAACAGTCAACTAGCGCAAGAGAGCGATTGTGCCTTTAGATACAGAGGAGTAGCCAAGCACATCATCGGAGTCGATTATGACGAATTTTTCGTTCCGAACTACACCTTGGCTCGAAATTATGCCGAGTTAATCAACGCTTTGGACACGGCATGGGCCAGCGAGCCAAGAGATGGGAGTTTAGCAAGTTATCAGTTTCAATCAGCCTTTTTCGACCCAGATTTTAGTCATTTCCCAGCCTCCAAGGTGGAAACCCTGCCACGTGTCAAGTTGGACCAATTAGAGTTGGATGACATGGTTTTGTACAGATATGTGACGCGGGCGGAGGCGCTCTTTCCCTATGAAACAAGGTAAGAATGTGTCGATGTAATTAGAAACAATTAAGGGAAGTTCATAAATTGTGCAATGGAAAAATCTTGATTTTCTTAACTCTACGTGATAATTCGCATTTAGTTAATTGTTTGCGTTTAGCGGGTAAGATACCCAGATAACAATTCGCTCTGAATTCTCTTATGTTTCGATATTACATTCGCTTTGATATCGATATCGAATTCGCATCGAATTTCCAACTTTCGAGATAAATTCGAGGAGATATCGAAGGGAAATGTCCGCCGATTCGACAGAGAATCGATGGAGAATCGTATATCGATTTCGCCGGTAAGTCTTCGCGATTTCGTCTTGAATTCGATGAATATGTAGGAGTTCATAACGATTTCTAAACGAATTCAATGCGACTTCTCCACGAATTTAATGCGACTTCTATACGAATTCACTGCGAATTAAGTAATAAATCGATACGATTTCTCCTATATTTCGAGTTAATCCAGCTTATAGTTTATTTTATTTATTCTAAATATCATGTAATATACATAACTGTTTACATTAAAATAAACATAAGTTGAATAATCAGATGACCCTGGTAGTGAAATTGGCCGCGATGTTAAGTCACTTCCTATTGAAAATATACTAATGTTATTTCTAAAATCTTTTCCAACAGTTATTATCGATTGTATATATTTGTACCTCATACGCTTCCCAACTCTATCTGCGACGTTCTTAAGAGATTTTTGTATTTCTTCGTCAACTGTGCCCTCGTCTGGAAAATTTGGAGTCCTAGGGTGAGCTGCTACCGCATCTGAGATTAACATATTTTTAAAATGTTTTAGAGTGTTGCATAATGAGATTGCATGTTTATGAGGAATTTTAAATTCAAGGGACCAATTTTGGATACTATATGTAATATCGAAAGTATCAATTTCACCTTCGCTTTCTGAGCTAATTGTTTCAGTTGAACTTCCTTCACTCGTGTTACTTCCGACTTCAATTTCTTCCAGATCTTCTTCGAACACTTGTTCTAAATAAATGTTTTCCCCTTCGGCCTGGACTAGGTCACTATTTAAATTTTCCTCAAAAATTTCACTTCGTCTTTTTACAAGTCTTCTTTTTTGGCGAGCACTCAACTGAAAAAGTCGTCTCCTTCCCATGAGGAAAGATTTGAATGTGGCAGCTAAAATTACTTAAAAATATAATAACAGCGTGAAAGAGAGAAATCACAGTGAATTCTCTAAGGATTATTTACGAATTCGAGATTTAAGGCGAACAGTATATAGTCTCCTATTCCTGTAAGAAGAATTCCTACCGAAATCGGGGAGAATTCCTAACTACAATAACAGCGAATTCGTTTAAGAATTCATAGTGAAGTCGTTTCGAATTCGATAGAAGAATTCTCTGAGAATTCGAGTCTAATTCGTTACGAATTCTGAAATGAGCGTAATATCGAATTTAGGTACGAATAATTACCGAACTCGATGCGAATTCGATACGAGAATAATAACGAAATCTGAGAGAATTCGAGTTCTGTTTTAACGCGACATTCTCTGCGAATTCTCTAAGCGAATTCAACGCGACCTGTTATCTGGGATATGTATAATGCTGGGGTTCATAAAGATTTTCTGATATTTTTCTCCTTCAGTTAATATTTATAAAATAATAAAATAATTAAATGTATTGGTCGAGTTGATGGTATGTATATTTGGATTTATAAGATCACGCAAAATTTAAGATTACCATCTAAGCTTTTCGGATGTTTAAGATTTAATATTGCAAACAAAATTTATAATCAATATTAAAATTTCGAAAATTCCGTCCCGTGAAATTTTCCGTGACATTCCTGCATTCTGATTGGCTGACATTTCTGCTCCACCAATCAGGGAACAGATACGACCGACCGTACAGATACGATTATAATTATGATTATGATTATGATTATGATTATAATTATCATTACGATTACGATTATGATTATGATTATGATTATAATTATAATTATGATTACGATTATGATTATGATTACCTATGATTATAATTATGATTATGATTCTAATTATGATTATGATTATAATTCTGATTATGATTATAATTATGATTATGATTATGATCATAATTATGATTATGATTATGGTTATAATTATGATTATGATTATGATTATAATTATGATTAGGATTATAAAAAAGTTTTCTTAGCGACACAAAAAAATTTCCTTTACACATAAAAAATGTTGCTTAACAACGTAAAAAAATTTCCTGAGCAACGTAGAAAAAATTCCCTAGCAACATGCAAAATTTTCCTTAGCAACATAAACAAATTTCCGTATCAATATAAAAAAATTCCTTACCAACATAAAAAAATTCCTTGGTAACGTTAAAAAAATAATTTCGTGCGGCCCGTCTTCAGGACGGGCTTATAGGCTAGTTGTATCATAAGTTTTACAAGCATCATATTAATAAGATCAGATTAAGATAAGAGGTGCATAAAATAAGATTATCTACTCGCGGGTTATTGTATCACAACCGGAATACTTTTTAGCCACAAGTCATGAAATGAAATGATTCCCATATTATTCCAGGTCAAAGTTGATAACGAAACCTCGAAAAGTGATCGAACCCAGGCTAAGCTGGGTTGGAGATGGAATGCAGTATCCAATTCAACCAGAATTTGCCTACATTCACCATTTCCAGAGATTTTATATGTGTGAAAACAACTGTACTCATATTTCGAAAATTACCGATTTCAAGGGCCACTATTACGCCACCGAAGTTTTATGAAAGGCACAAAAATTGGCTACCAAATTGATTGAAGAATGCAACTTGACATGATTGTTGTGGCAAAATTTGTTAATAATATGGACAAAAATTACAATAAAAAGTGCTTATTACACATTTATGTAAACATGAGTGTTTCTTTTTTGTGCGCATATTACTTTTTGTGTATGCATGTACTCCAAATAAAAAGATGTAAAATTTACTCAAGGGTGATGAACCAAAATATAAAATTTACCCAGTGTTGTGCAAAATTTGTCCAAAGTTGAGTAAAATTTGTCCGACGGGTGGATACATTTTGCACAACGCTGGAAAAATTTTATCCTGCGTCGTCCTATTTTTGAATCAACCTTGAGTAAATTTTATCTCTTTTATTTAGAGTGTGGTGCAATCTATTGTATGGAAATGCGTACAGAGGTAATTTACACCATATCCGTGCCGAGCGTTTCCTGTTTGCATTTTACACATACATGCTCAGCCATAAATCCATGATAGCAAAAGTCCATTACTTATAAAAATAAATCTTTTCAAATTAAAATAAGTTACACCTGGCTCATCTTTCCTTTTAAAATTCATGACAAGTCTTCTAACGGCTTACAATTGAGGCCTAGATTTGCAAACTAGTGTCAATATATTTTCAAAAAATTTCCATCGCCCGTGATACTGTTCATCTTCATTTCTTCTTCTTCTTGAGGGCCAATAACGTCCTAAACAAGCCACGGATGATACCTTGCATAAACTTCAAGACCGATTTATGCGTCACCACCATAAATCCGCCCCACCCGAAATACAATGGTTTACAGCTTTTCCTAAATTTCGACACGTATTTCCTATCCCCTCTCGATTCCCAGTGGTCGCCATGCACCTTCCAAGAAGTGAGACACTTTTTCGCAGACCTTTGAATTTTTGCCGCGCACGTCATAAGCGCCGCCCAGGACAGCACGGCGGACGGAACACAGACCAAGAATGTCATCCTCTTGGCTACATTGACCTTTTTGCCCTCCGCGATGAACACGTATCCCGAAGAGATGGCAAGTTGCCCCATAACGGTTTGAATAATGGGTAAGTATTTGCCAAAAGCAGCCTTATTTCCGTCATGGCCAGCTGTAAGGATCGATACACATGGACGAGTTGTTCCGGGTGCGCCCCGAGTTCTGGGGAACATTTGAATTTCCTTACTTCCCGGGGTTTTCTGGTTAACGCAAGTTCCTGTAAGACCGGAAGGACAAATAAAATTAGCCCCGAGAACGTTTGACAAAGTATTTTTAGATATGATGCGACAAAACAGAATGAGTATAGGATTATGAGCGAGTAGATGAAGAATGTTGAATAGAAAAGGGCGGGATAATTTGAAAATATGTTGGGCTAATGCATCGGATGGTGGGGCGAGATGAGAATCTGACACCATAGAACGAGCGGAAAAAGAATTAGTAAGAAGTTGGATGGGCGGGTAATTCGGAGCCAGTTTCGGTTGTAACTGGAAACTGCTGTAGATCCGGGAAAGTTCCAGGATGTTTCTACAAAATGGGATAATAAAAATAAATAGGGTAAAATACGTGAACAATGTGTCGTATTTAATGGACGAATTGCCATTTTTTTTTATTTCGAAAACTCCATGTATCTACATGTTTTAACTTGATTTTCCCTAATGCATAAAACTGTACGTAGGTAAAACCTAAAGTATCACGTGAACAGTATCACGGGCGATGGAAATTTTTTGAAAATATATTGACACTAGTTTGCAAATCTAGGCCTCAATTGTAAGCCGTTAGAAGACTTGTCATGAATTTTAAAAGGAAAGATGAGCCAGGTGTAACTTATTTTAATTTGAAAAGATTTATTTTTATAAGTAATGGACTTTTGCTATCATGGATTTATGGCTGAGCATGTATGTGTAAAATACTGTAGGTAAAACATAAAGCTCCTAAATAGGAGCATAAACGCTTAAAAATAATGCTACCCCGTTATGACTAATAAATGAGGTATAAATTATACATGAATTTAGCAATCTATACTCAATTATGAGTAAACTTTATCCTTTATCAAACTAATATTACATACATACTCTGGTTTTAGTTACTTAATTTAGAATTTAGACTGCAGTCTCGAATAAATATTTTGATTTTCACACATTCGAAAATGTCTAACTCATATGTCTTGACAGAAGCACCGCAAAACTGTGGTAGTTAATGGAAATTCACGATTTTTGCCCATCGAAAAACTTACTATTGTAGCTAGAGATTTAAATTCCTCTACAAGGTTTTCATAGACCAAATTTCTAGTAATCTTTTACACACTTACTATCCCTTGTGTAAATGTTTATTCGGAAATTCATATATTGTTCAAATATTTATGCATGGAAACGTTCAGAAATAAGGATAAATCATACCATAGAATTTCACATGGTAGAGAAACATTCCATTCCAATTTCGTGCGACTTCTTTCGCCTGATACGCGAATATATACGCTCCAACACAGATTGCCATCCAGCCGTAGGAAATTGCAAGGAGTAAATTGAAGTGGGGCGAATTTGGCATAAATTTATGCCTCCCGGTTTGCACGAGTACGTAGAAGGTGTTTAAAAATATGAATTTCGTAACGAAATTTGTTCTAGCACCAAATTTCAGGGAGAAATTTAACCTTCTCGTGGATTCGTCCCAAACTAACGGAAATCCGAATGCGTTTCCGGTTTTGATGGTTTTCGAAAATTCTAGGGAAACAATGTTACTAAACATCTTGAAGCTTTAGGTTGGACTGCATATTAATGTTTAAACTTATGACTGCATATTATAGTTTTGCCAGTTGGATGACGTAATTCGTATTTATGCAATTCAGTTTTTCCATTAAAACGAATGAGATATTTACATAGGAAATGTCCTCATTAACGTGCATAATGGCTTTCTGTAAACTAAAAAATAATGTTACTATTTTAAAGAGTAATTTGAGTCGTCTAAATAAAGACACCAAAGTAAAATTTATTCTTGAGTACAATTTACTTAATATTGAATTTAGTGTGCGTTTGTCCTTGAAAGGCGCGGCATTACAGATATTAGGAGTGTATAACTGTAACTGAACATCATAAACATCAAGAATACTAATATACATACATATATGCATACATAGTTATACAGATTTGATGGTTCGACGAAAATTTCGACATTTCTGAATCTTAGGGACGAGAACAAAAGGGGAAGCACAAGTAATGAAAAATCTACAAGCCACCGTAATGCATAGAAGTAGTCAAATTTCAAGCATGTGGAACCTGAAACAACAAATTCTGAAGAGTGTATGGGGATAATTTTGGTGAAGAAATCGCCTCAAATTTTGGCCACCTATCCGGAGTCGTTGTAATGCAGTTATTCGTAGTTACAGGTGCCTATTATATAATTGAGTATAATTTCTTCAGCTAAACTTAAAGAATATACGCAAATTATAAGATAAACGCCAATTATGCAGAATAATTTCGCTCTCTTTTTTCCGAATTTTGTTTACTGTTATATGTACATACTCGGACCAGGTATTCCCGTACAAGCATTTCTGGTGATAAATCCCAAAGTATTAGAGCTATCTGGTCGAAATTTTTATGGATGAACAAGGTATTAATATTGTTTAGAAATCATAACTTCTTTTCCATGATTTCGTCCACCGACTTGTACGCAAGACATAAGTCGTGGTGGAGACTGATCGCTCGCGCCACGCGCGGTTTTCATGGGAAAAGCGACCAGATCTTCAGTACGTACGACCTCAGGCCTTCCACGCTTTCCTGAGATTTAGAACATACTTACATCTATTATTTTGACCACCAGTCATAATTTTGGGAATTCAGGTCTGAAGGTGCTGAGGACCGTTCTTGCGATGTAATAAGGTCATGAAAATTCGTCCAAAACGATTTTTGGACAATTTTTCACCGTGAGCAGGAGCAAGATCTTGTTGGAGGGTCGAATGTTGATTTCCCGAGGTGTCAGTGTTCAGGGGTTTAATGATCGGCTCCAGGACACTCCAAAAATTATTTCTTGGCTCGAACTGTTACTCTTCGCGGAAAAAAACAGAGATTTGCTTTTTCCAGCCAACTCGCTCCCATTCTCACTATGTTGGTGACTTCTTATTGACTTCCGCATACTTAAGGGGATGTCAGACTTCCGTGGAGCAAATATATGTCGCTTTTTTCTATTAAATTTTTCTCCAACGGTGGAAAGTCTGAACTACTTTTTCTAAGAATATGGCCGCGTGCAATGATCGATCGATCTCTACAACGACTTATGTCTTTCTTTCAAGTCGGTGGACGAAACCTTGAAAACGAAGTTATGATTTCTAAACAATATTAATACCTTGTTCATCCATAAAAATTTCGACCAGATAGCTCTAATACTTTGGGATTTATCACCAGAAATGCTTATACGGGAATACCTGGTCCGAGTATGTATAAGTGCTTAATACAGCAATTTAAAGGTACAAAATAGGTCTAATGGCATGATAGGACTATTAAATTGAGGATACATAAATTTCAAAATAAGGGTAAATGGATACCTTCGTCAGTTACACAATTATTTTCGTTTGCATTTTGAAGCTCCTCTAACCCAACTGTGAAATTGTGCTGTCTAGTTTACTAGACATAGTGAGGATAATCTATCCTATTTGGAGAAGTCCAAAAACAAGCCCTAAACTGCTGTCATCATGGATGAATTACCTAGTTTCGCTTAGACCTTTGGTCAAGAACTCTATACAAAATCTGAATAGCACCCGGACATTGCACAGGTAGCTGGGAAATAGGAGTGGTTAAAATTCCTTACTATTTTTCCCGCCTGTGACCCCCTTTTGGACTTTATTTTTTTTAATTTGAATGAAAACTCGAAAATCGTGTTCAGCATAGTTGAATTAGTGGGTTTAGACCAATTTTGGTATCCAAAATGTCTTATTTGGTGCAAATGGACGATAGTTAGCCCGCAAAGGGGATTGATATCTCCCTGTTTTCTGAGATAACCACAGGACCAATTTTGTCCAACTTGGGCTGAAAATGATCATAAATACTTCCTCTTGGGTGGTCCGGGAGATAGTACTGATCCGTGACCTCCATTACCTGATTTTGACCTTTTTTGTATTTGTTGCAAATCTCCTCAAAATCATATATACATACATAAGTATGAGCTTCAGGCTCAAACAAATTGTTTCATTCAAAATGCATACATACATATATCACCTGCTTAGTGCGAGCAG